GAGAGAGAGAGAGAGAGAGAGAGAGAGAGAGAGAGAGAGAGAGAGAGAGAGAGAGAGAGAGAGAGAGAGATGGGAGAGAGATGGGAGTACGAGAGGTAATGTTTTTGCCAGAACTTATGAATTTAGGCAGAAAAGAGTCGGAAGCAATTTGCCAAAACAATGAATTTCTATATATGAAAAAGAGAGAGGTAGATGAGAGGAGATAGTAGGGTATTCGCCAACAACAGACAGATGGACAAAAAATGCCCTTGGATTGTCAGCAAGCACAACAATGACCAAATTGAACCTGCCCTCTTTTCCCTGCACTAGACAATACAAATCCAAATCCCCATTCTGCCAGGCATGTTGAAGCTACCAATTGGCCAAGCGACTTTGTTCCATGCCCAGACAACACATGCACCTTTCTATAGAAAAATGTAACAAGCCGTTCCATTTCCGGTTCCACTTCCCGTTCCATTTCCTGTCCCTGGTTCCAATGCCTGTTCCAGGTTTCATTTCCTGTCCCGGTCCCATTTCCTGTCTACTTTCACACCCTGTTCAATTTACCATCCTGTCCTTGAAGGTCGACGATATTCCCATTTCCATTTCTATTCCAACACTTCAACCTTTCTGCTGAGAGCTCATTTGGTGCTCTCGTCAAAATCAACGACCCCCAAATATGCTGCCCCAGGGGCCAATACATCAAAAACTATATTACTAACCACCACAAACCATGCATACTCCCCCAGAGGGTTATAGCTATAACACTCCTAAAAAAAAAAACATACTATGGTCAGTGACTCACCGTCTCCTCTTTCAACACTACTACTGTCTATACCTGTTACCTGTAGTTGATCTTTATTGTGCTGCTCCTCTCTCACTCCAGAAACAATGGTTGATAGGCACAGTCCGGAACTTCAGCGTGCATCAAGGAGTGGAGTGCTGTCCTCTTCCAGAAACCTCCTTCCTATCGATGCCAGCAGGAGACATACACCCTATATATACTGTGTGATGGCATCATGTCTGTTCACTCACAAAAAACGTCAAGGCAAGATCTTCACCAAACTTGTCTACATTTCAGTGTGCAACATGTTGCGCTATCCGTACCTCTTTCTAAACTGCGAGTCAAGACAAACGTGCATCAAGAACAGCCCTCATTTCTCTATTGCATGTCCTCATCCTCTACACGGAAGCCTAAGGCAGCAACCTTAGACATGACAAGAACAGATACTCCAAACTCAGCCAAAGCTTTGGTACCGGACATTCCACAGAACCGGCACCTCTTTCTGCACTGCATATATCAACACAAACCTGCACCGAGAAGTCCTCCCACTTCTCCCCTTCTCTATCCCATGCCCTCCTCCACTACACCGCAGCTCGATATCCTCCTCCACTCTTTCTGCAGTGCATATCAAGTTATCAACACAACCCCGCATCGATACTACTTTATCTTATCCCATGTCCTCCTCCATTACACCGCAGCTCGATATCCTCCTCCACTCTTTCTGCACTGCATATCAACACAACCCTGCACCGAGAAGTCCTCCCCCTTCTGTATCCCATGCCCTCCTCCACTACACCGCAGCTCGATATCCTCCTCCACTCTTTCTGCAGTGCATATCAAGTTATCAACAAAACCCTTCGTCGATACAACTTTATCTTATCCCATGCCCTCCTCCACTACACTGCTGCTCAATATCCTCCCCCGCTCTGTGCACTGCATATATCAACACAAACCTGCACCGGCAAGTCCTTTCTTCTCTATTACATACCCACCTCAGCTACACAGAAGCCTCCCTGCTCTATGCCATATCCTTCTCCACTACACAGCAACCTCAGATGAGGCAGACCAGCGTGTCTCTGAATTCAGCGCACAACAGAAGACGGACTCTAGTATCTACACCCCTTTCTGCGCTGCATGTATCAACACCAAACCCCCGGTGAGAACAGTCCTCCCTCCATTCCTTGTGAGGCTTCCCTACTACAGCAACCACTCTAAAGGCAGCAACCTTAGACAACAGGAGATTGGGTTTCTGGAGAACAGGGCCCCCCTGACCTTCCCCGATCCCGGTCCCCTGTGTCCGGCCGTTGATCCCTGTAACCTATTGTGACAACATCAAATAATAGGGACTAATAATGGGAACTCAGCCCCGGGGTCAACAAGATCTGTTAAACAACTTAAACGGCAAACAGTTCACGGAACCGCTTTGCAATTCCAAGGGAACGGGGAAGTATGTGAAGAGCGGTGCTTCACATATATATGGCTTTCGCATATGGATGGAAGTCCATTTGAACGACGACGAGGTACTGGCTAACAGATTATGATTTCCCACTTTGCCAATGGGTTGCGATTCCCCCATTTTTCCAACAGGGGAGATTCTGCATCAAAACAGCAACAACCAAACAAACCAGTGGAACTAAATTGCGACACCTCAAAGGATCTATCGACTGTCCTCACATATTGGGGTGGCTTTGGCGCATGAGATATAGAGGTGTACCCATCGTAGCTCATCTGCGGACTGCGAAAGGGTTCCTCTGTAGTGATAACATTTGCCACCGTAGATCTATAGACGCAACCATCTGCTGCAGCCATTGATCTACAGGCGCAACCGTCTATACATATTTAACCCCTGTATATAGATTGAAGTACGGATGGTTAGCGGCTACTCCATCTGGATGGATCAAGGGCTGCTCCAGTGGTAGTAGGTCCGAAATGGTTGGCTTCGCGGTTCTGGGATAACGACGGCGGAACAAACGAATGAAAAACAAAAACGTACTGATTGTGTGTACTGCTGGCACTTTGCTCCAGTTTGTCTCACACGACGCTGCCAACTTGCATACACTGCACCTGGCAGCGTCCACTCTTTAGATCTGACGGCTTGGAAGTATTCTACGGTTCGAAGCTGATAAGGTTACCTTGTACTCGAGAAGAACACGCAGAGAAAAAGCTGAAGCAATGACCTCGGAAAAAGAAGAATTAGACAGAGACAAACAAAATCACAGGAGCTGGAGATAACCACCGATGCCAAGTACAATACTACACTCTGTCTATACATAGGATGCCTCTTTACAGCAGTCACACTTTGCCTCCTGCTTCACTGTCTTGTCATCATCCGATGATAATGCCGACTATCTGCTCGACTGTGACTTAGACTTTGGAGTTGTAACAATAACAATCTCTTGTCGCAACTTGCCTGAGAACATGACAAGCCTCGGGCAATGACATCGATGATTCACCGAGCACCCGTCAAAGGTACTCAACCGTGAAAGTCGTGCTCCACTGTGCAAACCCTATATCCCTCATGGCATCTTATCAAAGCTTTGGGCTTCGCGAGCTCATATGCAATGTAAACATCGGACGGCGACTCTGTAATCATAACTAAACTAAACTGGACTCTATCCGGCAGCAGCACAGCACATGCAATACCAAACAGTGCCAGCCGGAGCTTTCACTGTTGGCTGATCCATTCCAAGTCATATACGAGACCCCTCTCATCCAGTGGCAATCGCAAGTATTCATATTACATAACTTTGATTGCCCATCGCCGTCGAGTGCAGTCTCAAACAAAAACCCTCGGACATTTCCTGGCTTTCATTCCCCGCCATTGTGATGCAAAACCTTTTTGACCCTCTCTCACCCAAAATGCCAGGAGATTTGAACAGTCGACTTGCATGCGAACTGACTTCCTTTCCTTGCAGCTTCACTGCATTTGCGATTGATTTACCACACGACAGAACGTCCAACGGTCAAGTTCGGACAACTTGCCACCCGCCTTCCTTCTCTACAGCCTCCAGGACTTTTGTGATTTGTTCGTTGCCTTAGGGCTCGCTTGACATCAGTCACCTTTTATTTGCCTTCGAGACAGGCACCTTTTCATTGCCTTTGAGAATCCTTGCCTTGCTAGCTGTTGCGTTCGGTGTAACGATCATCAACCATGACCGCCGATTGTGACGGTCGGGAAACAGAAATCGCCGGGCTGGTTGGATCTTGGCATGCCAACAAGGTTCTGACTGCTTGGAAGGACATGATGACTGGTTGATCCAGGCACTTTCCAGTGACACCGCATGGCACATTAGCAGCAACCATTCACTCTCCATCACAACTCTCTTTGTTTCCTAGCTTCCTTGACGCAATATCTCAAACTGTGGTCACAGTACAGAGACAACCATTTGCCGAAGAGGAAGACTGCAGAACTGGATACTGAAAATGCCGTCATCCATGAAGGGCATACTCGCACTTCGACATTTCGAACTGAACCTGGCCGTAATAACCCCATAAAGTTCTGGTACGAGTATTCGCTAAGCCATGAAAGAGCACTTGATCACTGAAAATGCCGTCMTCCATGAAGGGCATACTCGCACTTCGCCATTTTGAACTGAATCTGGCCGTAATAACTCCATAAAGTTCTGGTACGAGTATTCGCTAAGCCATGAAAGAGCACTTGATCCCCGCTTTCCAAGGCGATGAGTCAGTCAGTGCTGTTAGTGTGAGTTTTCTCCTGAAACGTACTCGTCATTTTTTCACTGTCATGTCAACCCATACTCTGCCGATACCATTATAATACGCAGGAACTAGAAGTAAATCAAATACATTTGAAAAACGAGCATAGTGTTGGGAAGGCAGTGCAAAACGCATAAGCCTTCATCTGCAAGTCCATGCCTCATCGTCTGAACACCCTACCTCACACCCTACCTCAGATCGCGCTTCCTGTATGATTGAACTGGAAGAGGTCAGTTCTCTCGTGCTGATCACTAACATAGCACGACACATATCCTCCCAGACGCAAACCAGTATGGTTACTAGCGTGGAGGTTTCTGCTTGTAGGGCATTCCACCCCTGCGGCTGACTGGAAGCTATCAGGCACAAAGACAAGCTCTGGTCAGATGCGACCCACTGATGCCATTCCCTGAGGCTAAACTCTTCTCTCTGGTTCATCTCCTTTCCGCGGCTTATAAGCTCAAACTCCGTACCACCCTCTTTTCACCATCTTTACTTACACAATCCCACAAACACGGACAATCGCTCTCAGTGAATTTTGAGAACTGACAGCCGAAGTCCAGACTCGTCGTCTGAATGCCCCGCAACCGAAATCCACACAGAGTTCCAGTGCATTAGGCTTGCTGCCACCCCCCCCCACCACCACCACACACTGAATCAGTACCCTTGTATATATTGTAAGCAACAAGATCCCTGTCTTCCTCCCCTACTTGTCCCTTCCTCCTCTTCTCATCCTCCTCCCTTCCAACCTTCCTCCCATTCTCCCTCTTTGTTTCACTTCTTTTCTCTCTTTCTCTGTCTCTTTCTCTCCCCCTTTCTCTGTGAATGTACGCATGTGCATCTGATATTTGTGGGTATGCAGGCATTGCCAGCCAAATAGTTAGATAGGTAGATATGCTTTTCACAGATTTCCCCGAGGATCTTATTCAGCATAAGATCAGCATAAATCTATCCAAACTTAGGACCTTCTCAGCTCTTCTCCACCACCCCCTTTCCCTGCCAATCCTATCAAGTGACTTGCTGAAACTTGATGGCAAAAGTTTGGTTAGTTGAATGAAATCCTGAAGGGGGAAGCTAACTTACGAGTGGAAATATTGCACGTTGTATAGTTTGAAGGTATTCTTCGAAAGCCACGAAGGAAAGTGCGCTCATTATGGAACTGCTCCCTTGAGCAGATAACCCAGCGTCCATTGGCTGCTAAGACACCATGTGCCCGGCATCTAATCGTTTAGACAGTCAAATCTGTCCTCTGCGCCGATATCAATTGACCTGCTCACCCACATGCAGGAGAAGAAGAAAAACAGGCACAATAAGAGTGGAAACTCCAGTTAGAATTCCCTCACATCAGACCCATCAGTTATCCTGAATTTACGTGCAGAAGAGGCACATCAAAGAAAGAAGAAAGATCTCTCTCTCTCTCTGTGTTTACATTAACATCATCCACATACATAACTACCTGCCACTTCCTTTGTTTACACTTCCCTCATCTTGGCGTCAAAGCTCTCTCTCTCTCTCAGACACACATGCACACGCGCGCGCGCACACACACACAATCATATTTTATGTACGCAATATTACGCATGTATTTCATACTATTTCCTCTTTCTTGATTTTTTGTAAGTGCGAAACAGTCGTCGTTGGTGGTTTGGAGTGCTTGAAGGACTCTTAGGGGAGACGTGCTGTCTATGATGTCTCTGGTGCATAAGGTCTATGGGTGACATCCCTCGGAGTACTGTCCTCGCTCAGCAGGTGGTGGGAACCAACAGTCTGCAGGTTTCACCAGTGATGTGAGTAGGTGATGTGCCGCTTTGATCTGTGTTGGATGTGTAGATTGCCTTGTCTGGGTTCCGCCGCTGCCTCGCTGCCTGTCCCGCTTGCTTTGCATGGTCGTATTCCTTACACGCTTTTGTGTTTGCTGTGTGGTGTGGCTGCATTGCGGGTGTTACCTTGTACTTCGCCGCACGCTGCCTTGCCCACATCTGCATGCCTTGCCTTCCGCACTTTTCGCTTGTGTGCCGTGTAGAGTGGCTGCTGCGTCAGTATTGGTTTGTGCTTCACTGCAATGTTGCCGTGCCGTCCATCTAGTTGTTTTTCGCGATGTGCAGTTGTATTGCCTCGGCAGTGTTGCCAGATGCTGCGCTGAGTTGCTGCCCGCTGCTGTATTTTGTTTGTGAACAGTCTGCTTCCAACAAGGGTGAAAGGGTTCCTGGCCCAAACCATCAATACGAGGTTTCCACAGATTGTCGAGGGTTCAGCCTCCTGACCAGTCAGTGCAACTCCGACAAAACAATCTATCATCAGTTTTGGCCCTTTTGGGGTTTTGGCCACAAGGAAAGGTCCCCATGTAGCTATTTAGCAGGCTGAGGCCTCGTTCATTAACGGAATTAACCAGACAAATCACTCCACCAACTAAGAACGGCCATGCACCGGTTTGTTTTTCCCTACTTGCTCTTTTAGTCTGCTTTGCTCTTTCTATGCCCTGCTGCTTCTTGGCTTGTTGTCTTTCCTTTTGCTGCCTGGTGGTCTCCCCACCGACCTCCCACCAGCCTCCCAGCCTATGTTCCTTGCTGCTGCTTGACTGTTCAATGCTGCTCCTTGGCTAGTTGCATTTCCCTTTGCTGCAGAGTGATGTTTTGTCTTCCCGCCCACCTCCCCCATGCCCTCCAGGACGGCGGAGCATGGAGGGAGGGCGGAGGGAGCACAGAGGAGTGCGGCAGGAGGACGGAGCGGGAGTGCAGAGGGCGGACACAGGCGGAGAGGAAGGATGGCAGGAACGAGCGGCTCTGGGTGAAACGGCAGAGAGAGAGAGAGAGAGAGAGAGAGAGAGAGAGAGAGAGAGAGAGAGAGAGAGAGAGAGAGAGCGTGTGTTGCATGCTGCGCACGAGGGTCATTTTTCAGGCCCTGCGTCGTTCAGGCTGGAAGCCTGAATTTCAGCCCGAGAAGCCTGAAATCCGGGGCCCACAGGCCCTGTGTTGTTTCAGCCTAAAAAAGGCCTGAGCCTTTTTCAGCCTGAAACTGAGGGCTATTTCCGGGCCAACAGGCCCCATGACGGTTCAGCCCAAAAGCCTGACATCCGGGGCCCACAGGCCCTG